AAGGCCCCTGACTCTGTGTCTCTCCTGGGAACCAAAAGGCTTTGTCCTTCCTCCTGAGCCAGGGACAGGGACAGACAAGCTCGCTCTCACTCTCTCGCTCTCTCTCCCTCTCTCTCTCTCTCTCTCTCTCTCTCTCTCTCATCTCGCTATCTCTATCTCTCTATCTCTATCTCTATCTCTATCTCTATCTCCCTTCCTCCTTCCCCCTCTCCCTCAACATAAAAAAAAAAAATCTTGGAGAAAAAAAAAAAAGACAGGACAAATCCACCCCCATCTCCCAAAAAAGTTTAATGCTATTTACATAAGGTTAGGTAGGTACAGGAACAACTAATGAAGGTAGAGGGGATGGTGCTCCCTTAACATGGTGATATGGAGCACAGAGAGCATATAGTGGTAGATGAAAATTCTTATTAGCCTAAAAGGTAACTTTTGGCATACTAAGGTACAAGTAGTAAGACTCTGAAACACTCCATGTTTGAAGGAATAATTTAAATAATGAGTTTTAGAGTTTCAGGATTAAAAACAAGTAATCAAAACAACATGCGAACAAAACAAAATATCCATATTTACTATCGGGTTACCTAAAACAAACAAACCACAAGAAAAGTGGAATTGGATAGGATGGCTTTTAATATCCTATATAATAAAAGCTTTATATGCAAATTAACTGAATGACAGAACGACCGGTTGCTATGACGTGCAGTGACTACCAGGGGGCAGACGCTCACCACAGGAGCTGCCCCCAGCCCGCAGGCCCCAGGCCAGCCAAGGTGGGTGCCAGCGGGGGCCCCCCTGATCACCCTGCCAGTCGCCCACAGATCAGCCCTGATCATTGGCCAGGCCTAGGGATGCTACCCATGTATGAATATCGTGCATTGGGCCTCTAGTAATTTTTATCAGAAAGAGGCTTTAAAATGTACAACTGGCTCAAAAACCTCTAAAGAAACATGTGAAACAAACACATGAACACAAGAAATATAAAAACAAAACAAAAAACAAAGGCCACATATCTAGAAGAAAAGGTGAACTTTATCATCATTACATACCAAGTCAAACATTAATCAACTTCTATTAGTATAGGACATGTGACCTGAATAGAGAAAATTTTAAAAAATTGTAAATTCTAATCCAAGGGAAGGTTCTCCCCCAACCCCACCCTTTACATTGTTTTTAGAGAGATTACTGACAGCAACACAAATTGACTGACTGATTTATAAACAATCCTCTAGGAAAAGTTCATCAGAGATTTTTTTATATATATATATTTTATTGATTTTTTACAGAGAGGAAGGGAGAGGGATAGAGAGTTAGAAACATCTATGAGAGAGAAACACTGATCAGCTGCCTCCTGCACACCCCCCACGGGGAATGTGCCCGCAACCCAGGTACATGCCCTTAACCGGAATCGAACCTGGGACCTTTCAGTCCGTAGGCTGATGCTCTATCCACTGAGCCAAACCGGTTTTGGCCATCAGAGATTTTATATTTGGCCCAGTTTCTTCTACTTTCTACATCTGCATTCCCTTAAAATATAAGTGTTCAAAATAATGGCAGATATTCCAGTTTATAAATATACTAAAAAAAAGATATTTAATTAAAAGCGGTTTTCAGATTAACACTGTTAACTATAAAATAATTAACAGTTGGGTTTGTTTTATTTATTGTCTTTATGGGGGTGAGAAAAGAGAATATGGAGATGGAGAAGAATTCTTTCTTTTTTATTGATTTCAGAGAGGAAGGGAGAGGAAGAGAGAGAGAAACATCAATGATGAGAGAGAATTGGCTGCCTCCTGCACACCCCATACATTGAGCCCGCAACCCAGGCATGTGCCCTGACTGGGAATTGAACCGTGACCTTCTGGTTCCTAGGTCGATGCTCAACCACTGAGCCATGCTGGCCAGGCGAAGAAGAATTCTTTGTGACAGTCAGATAACGTCCAACTGGGTCAGAAAATTAAGTTAATTAGAATGTTGCAGAATCTCAAAAGACAAGGCCTCAAGCCCTCTTTCTTCTCTCTATAAAACTCCCTTCTTAAATGATCTCATTAGTCACATAACCTTAAATATTAAGTATTCACTGATTATTCAAAAAAAATGTATATCCCTAGCCCAAAGCCTCCTCTCTAAGCCCCAGACTAATATATTCAACTATTTGTTAACTTCACTGGATGTCTCACAGTCAATTGTAAACTCCATATCCTAACTCCCACTCCCTCTTCCAAATTTGCCCTGGACTAGTATTCCTTATCTCAGAAAACAATGCAAACATACATCTGGGTTGCTCCGATCAGAAAGCTGGAGTCATCTTTGACAATTTACAATAGCTAATTTGGAAATATCCAAAGTGCCCATCAGCAGATGAGTGGATAAAAAAATTGTAGTACATTTACACAATAGAATACTACCCAACTGTAAAAAAGAAAGAACTCATACCATTTGTAACAGCATGGATGTACCTGGAGAGTATTATGCTAAGCAAAATAAGCCAGTCAGAGAAAGATAAGTATCACATGATCTCACTCATATGTGGAATCTAATGAACAAAATAAATTGATGAACAAAATAGATCCAGAGACTTAGATGCATGGAACACATTGTCAGACCTCAGTGGGAAGGTAGGGAAGGGTGGATAGGTGGGGAAGAGTGGGTGGGTGGGAGGAGATCAACCAAAGAACTTGTATGCATATATGTATAACCCATGGTTACAGATAATAAGGTAGTGAAGGCCTGGGGTTGGGGCGGGGGCTGCTAGAAGAAGGGGAAAAAAAGGAACCTATGCAATACTTTCAACAATAAAGATTTTTAAAGCAACAACAACAAAATACAGAGCAGTACTGTATCATATAGTGACTCACTTAAATCAAAAGCCCTTAGTATAGACCACACCACAAATGCCTGGCACTACCAATTGCAGAATATTTACCCTTGCACATTTTAATGGTTATAATTTAGAATCTTATGTCCTGTCCATTTCATTACTTGTCTAGATTCTAGTTAAAAACCACCTTTAAGCTGAAACCGGTTTGGCTCAGTGGATAGAGCGTCGGCCTGCGGACTGAGGGGTCCCCGGGTCGATTCCGGTCAAGGGCATGAACCTGGGTTGTGGGCACATCCCCAGTAGGAGATGTGCAGGAGGCAGCTGATCGATGTTTCTCTCTCATCGATGTTTCTAAGTCTCTATCTCTCTCCCTTCCTCTCTGTAAAAAAATCAATAAAATATATTTTAAAAAACCACCTTTAAACTGAAAAATTTTGTATGAACACCACCCAGTGTGAAGATATCTATCACCAAGAAATGTTTTCTAATGAGGAAAATTGCATTTAGTATTTTAAAAAGTAGAGAAATAAAATAGTAGACATTTTCAATGGTACATATATATAAATTTTAAAAAATTCTATGTTCCCTTAGTGGTATTTTTATCCATTTGGAAAATGTAGAAATTCCAAAGCAACTCCTTTTCCAACCTCACCTAAAAAAAAAAGAAAGAAATTTCCCATCCCTTGGGAGCAGGGGACCAGTGCCTTTTAGACCTTTAGGTTATTTACTCTTACTTTCTATTAAACTCTGAAAAGCTTGGTTTCCTGGTTTTCTAGTTGGAAGCAAATATGAAGCAGCAAATCAGCAGAAGTAAGGAGCTATTAGAGGAAGACACAGAGACAGTAGAAAGTGACAATAAGGAGGAAGATTCAGTACATAAATCTATACCCTGCAGCCCAAACAAACACCAAAAGCACACTCTTACTTGGAAAAGAAGCTCCTAAGGGCATCACCGTATTGATCTTAGTGTAATACTTCACACCCTTCCAAATCTAATCTCTTCAACTGTCCTCTGTAACATCTCTCCTCCAATTTCCTCAGAATCTTGCTCCATGAATCATCCTCTCTTCCCTGCCATATCTTGACCCTTTTCTTGCCTATGGACTCCTTCCCTTCAGAAAAAATATTCTCAATTCTCTTACAAGTAACACAAAAAGAGCCCTTCTTTCACATCAACACTCTCCTCTAGTTACTTTCTTCTCTTTCAGAGACAACGTTTTGGAAAGAATAGTGTCTACCTGCTAGCTCCCGTTCCTCACCACTCATTTATCTTCTAAGCCACTGCACCACAATGGTCTTCTAACCACCCACTCCACTGTAGCTGCTCTCACTTTGGTCACTGCTGCCCTCACAACTGCCAGTCTACTGACTTTCTACTCTTACCTCTGTTGACCTCTCCAAGACAACTTGATCCAACTTCCTTCTTGAAAATTCCCTCTTTGTTTAGTCTTTGGTGCCACACTCATTTTGATTCTTCAGTCCTGGGATGTCAGTGGAATGTATGCAAAAAAAGGGGAGGAGGGTTCATGATCAAATAGGTTTGGGAAATATTCTATTAAAATTAAACGGGTTTCTTTACTAGGGATTTCTCAGATTTCTAACAAAATACTGATATGCATTGTGAATCTACAGGATGGAGTTTTACAGTGTTTCCCAAACTTGCCTGGCTCTAGAACCTTTCTCTCCCTTATAAAGAACTATCTTATATGATAAATTAATTGAGGAACATATTTTGGGTAACATCACTTTTGATGTTCTCTTTCAGCCTTATCTACAGGATCTCCTTCCTCCTTTAGCCTCTCAAATGTCTAAGTTCCCCAAAAGTCCACTTTCAGTGTTTCACTCCTCGCAGGTCTCACTATATACATTCATCATAAGTGATCTCACTCATATTTTCATGGTTTCAACCCAGCTTTAGAGTGACTCTGACTGACACTGTGTAAAGTAGGAATAATAACAAATTCATACGGACTAAAAGACATGATGTATATAAAAGTGTAAACACAACATATTTACACATTTAAGCAAAAGCTTAATAAATAGTCACAATCATTTACTCTGTCTCCAGCCTAGATCTCCTTGCTGAGCAGTAAAGATGTATTGATCTAACTTGGGACTTCCCCTTGGTTGTTGCATATATACCTCAAACTCAAGATGCTCACTTCCCACTCTACCACCTGGCCCCTGCACACTCTAGCTCAGTATGTACTCTTTGCCCAAGCCTGAAACAATGAAGCCATACTCCAGACTCTTCCTTTTCAATTACTATCCTTCCCTCTGCTCACCAATTTAGTAACCAAGTATATCTGGCTTTTTTCTAGTGCATTTTCAGATGGCTATCTTCTAAAGTACAAAATCTGATCACATCATTCTTCTGCTGATAAATTCTTCAATATTTCCTCATAGTTTTCAGGATAAAATTCAACCTCCTAATGTATCATATACGGCTCCTTATGATCTGGTCTCTTAAGTGTCATCTCCTTCCATGCCCTATTCTCATATACACTCTCCACTTCAGTCAAATCAAATCATGTGTATGTCTACTAATGGTCATACTGTCAAGACTTTACTAGTACACATGCTATTCTCTGTCCATGAAGTCAATTCAACCCCACTCCCACCCACTTTATTTCTGGTTAATTCCAAATGGTCATTTTCATGAATTTAGTTATATGTTGTTTCATTTCTATTCTTTAAATTTTATCTTTAACAAATGTATAACACAGCCTATAAATTTAACTATTCATTCTCAACCTATTTAATACTATAAAATACAAGCAATTCATCCAGTATACTTAGGTAAAATTGTCAGCTCCAGAATTGTCTGATTTTAGTAATGAGTAAGTCTATAATTAAACTAGAGGCCCAGTGCATAAAAATATGTGCACTCGGGGGGAAGGGGGGGTCCCTCAGCCTGGCCTGTGCCCTCTTGCAGTCTGGGACCCCTTGGGAGATAACGACCTGCTGGCTTAGGCCTGCTCCCGGGTGGCAGAGGGCAGGCCCAATCCCTAGGTGCAGC